AACACTTTTGTCCCTTAATTCTGGAACGTCCTCAGTCTCTGTTATATATTATGCCTTCCCTCTGCTTTCTTTAATTTACTCCTGTGAGTCACATATTAGGCCTCATACATTTTTCCTTCAGGTCTTTTGTTTTCTTTCTCCTACTCCGTCCTACTGCTTCCCAGGTGTCTCTAGTGGTAAAGAACCCACCTGCCAACGCAGGAGACATAAGACACACAATAGACATGAGTTTGATCCCTGGGTCAGGAGGAGCCCCTGGAGAAGAAACCCACTCCGGTGTTCTTGCCTGGAGAATCCCAAGGACAGAGGAGCTGGTGGGCTACAGTCCATGGGGTCTCAAAGAGCCAGACACGACTGAGGTTTATGCTTATATATGCAGTCTCTTGTGCTGTTATTCTGCTGCCTGGAAGATTTTCTTTATTTCATTTTCCAACTTTTCAATTTTTTTTTATCCCAGCAATTATCTTTTATTTCAAAAAAGCATTCTCTTATTCTCCGACTGTTCCCTTTCTTATTTAGTAGGAGTGCTATGTCTTGAATCTCCGAGAACACTAAATAGTGTGGGGGGATATAAAGGGTTCTCTTGTTCCCTGTATTAGCTCCATTTTCTTTGCTCTGTTTCCTTTCCTTTTTCTTTCTTTTCCTGCAACGCTAGCGGGGCTTTGCAGTCGCTGCCAGCACGTTTCTCCTCAGTTGGTCCCTGCTTACCCATTGCTGATGAAGCTCAGCTGCTTGTGGGCTGTGTGTGGGGGCAGAGCTCTTTCACTCAGCTCAGCTGGGGATGGTGGGGTACAACCAGCATGTTTTAGGGCCCTAAATGCAAAATGGGGAGGATGCTGCTGGGAAAACCAGTTCCCACAGCGAGCTGCCTGAATTCTCCCAAGACATTTCACCGAATGTCTTTAGAAAGCAATTCTACTTTCAGGGAAGGGAGGTGGATGAGGGAACAGGGATCGTTTGTGTTTGCCGCTGTCATTGTTGCTGATTTTAGGTAGGCTTGGTCACTAGGTCATGTCCGCCTCTTGTGACCCTGTGGGCTGTGCCCACGTAAACCACAGCTGTGACTGTGGCCGTATGCTTAGGGCTCTGAGTCCTGCCGTGTGTGCCCACTGACTCAGTCCTGTCTGACTCTTCCCAGCCCCAGGGACTGTAGCCCTCAGGCTCCTGTCCACGGGATTTCCCAGGCAAGAATACTGGACTGGGTTGCCATTTCCTTCTCCAGAGGATCTTCCCAACCCAGGGGTCAAACCCGGGTCTCCTGCATTGCAGGTTGACTCTTTACCAACTGAGCCACCATGTTTTTACTAGGAATTAATTTCCCAGGCATGGCATGGTCTTCCTGAGAGATGGAGGAGTGTTTGATCCTTAGAAAAAAATATGGCATCTCCTGCAATCATGTCAAAATCCCCTAAGTATAAAGAACAGGAATCAAATCAGATATTTCTGTGATGCCAAAATTGGTGGAACCAAACCCCAACTGAAAATTGGTCTGGTTTCCTTAGGTCAAAATGAAGAGGAAATTTCTAAGACATCCCCAGTGAGAACAAAAATCAAAGTGTGATGATTTGCAGCCAAATGAAACAGAACTCTTTCATCATGTCAAAATGAGGATGTGGTCTATTCTCAAATGCATATTTCTGCTATTCACGGATTTCCCTTGCTTCTTTATAGGCATACTCCTCAAATGATGTATGAAACCAGATAGCTTTACTTGCTAGCATGAATCTTAAAATTGAGCATGTTGTAGCGGTCACTTAGTTTCGGTTCTAATTTTAGAGACAAAGAAACTAACAGAAAACGCTTTTAAAGGTCATACCTTCAACTGGGGGGAGGCAATAGAAGGAGGGACATGGTCAGGGTGGGGGTGCTTCCCTGGTGGCTCAAAGATAAGGAATCCACCTGCCAATGCAGGAGACCCAGGTTTGATCCCTGGGTCGGGAAGATGCCACATGCCACGTGAGGCTGTGGACCACAGCTACTGAGCCTGTGCTCTGGAGCCTGGGAGCCACAACTCCTGAAGCCCACACGCCCTAGAGCCCATGCTCCACAGTGGGGGATGTTGCTACGATGAGAAGCCTGTGCACCACAACTAGAGAAAGGCCCGCACTGCAAAGAACACTCAGCCAAAAATAAACAAATAAATAGAAGAGACATGGGGTTAAGAAGGGAAGACTTGCGTTTGGATCTAGGTTTGCTAGTTGGAACTGGCCACATTGCCTCGGATGTGTTTCCAGTTGGTTAATATGTGAGCATGAATCCTGGTAACAGAAATCTGGGGTGTTCTAGGTCCCAACCGACCCTGAAAAATACAAAAATTATCTGAGAACTGTAGGATGACCATTCCCGATGCCTTACCTTAAAGGACAGGAAAGACCCTAGACATTCACTCGAATCCATTCTAACCATTTTGTCTGAATGTGCAGGTGAATTTTCAGAAACCAGATTGTTCTCTGATATTTTTCATGGAGCTCTGAGAAGCAATGAAGAAGGATCTGAGGAGGGGTCAGAGATTTGAAGAATCAGGTGATATAGCCTGATGCCTTCCCCGTTCAGGGGCAGAACTGAACTTATAAGCAGTTTGACCAGATTATATAGCAAGTTAAACAACCAAGGCCAGATGAGCTGCAAGCCACAGGAATATTATGTGTGGATAATACTCACCAACACATTTTCCAAGACTGTTCCCTCCAGAGATACATGGACCATTAAAAAAGAGTCAGGAAACCATGATCGGTCAAGGTAATCTCTGGGTGATTAACATCATATAAGAGACATGTGGCTAGATCCTAGTTGATGAGTTTTAGTATTATTTAGCATTTATTTTGTATATGAAAGTGAAAATGTCAGTCAGTGAGCCATGTCTGACTCTTTTTGACCTCATGACCTGTAGCCTGCCAGGCTCCTCTGTCCATGGGATTACCTGGACAAGAATGCTAGAGGGAGTAGCCAGTCCCTTCTCCAGGGGATCTTCCTGACCCAGGGATTGAAGCGGGGTGTCCTGCACTGCGGACAGATTCTCTACCATCTGAGCCACCGGGGAAGTCTCTTATTTTGTATACCATAGTACTTAGTGCTATACAGTATATTTACATGGACATTTAAATTCCTGTTAATTTCCCTTTTTAAATTTTTACTGTAGTATAGTTGATTTACCATGTTGTATCAGTTTCAGGTACAGCAAAGTGAATCAGTTAAAGACACACACACACATATACATCTCCACCCTTTTTTAGATTCTTTTCTCATATAAGCCATTACAGATTATTGACTAGAGTTCCCTATGCTATACTCAGTTCAGTCGCTCAGTTGTGTCTGACTCTTTGCGACCCCATGGACTGCAACACGCCAGGCTTGCCTGTCTGTCACCAACTCCCAGAGCTTGCTCAAACTCATGTCCATTGAATCGGTGATGCCATCCAGCCATCTCATCCTCTGTCGTCCCNACGTACTCCTTTCCCAATTTGGAACCAAGTCTGCTATTCCATGTCCACTTCTAACTGTTGCTTCTTGACCTGCATACAGGTTTCTCAGCAGGCAGGTCAGGTGGTCTCATATACATGCGGTCCTTATTAGTTATGTACTTTATGTATGTGCGTGTGTGTGCTAAGTCACTTCAGTTGTGTCCTACTCTTTGCGACCCTATGGACTGTAGCCCACCAGGCTCCTCTGTCCATGGGATTCTCCAGGCAGGAATATGGTGTGGGTTGCTGTTTTATATATAGTAGTGTGCATTTTATATATAGTAGTGTGTATTTTGAAGAAGGCAATGGCAACCTGCTCCAGTACCCTTGCCTGGAAAATCCCAGGGATGGACGAGCCTGGTAGGCTGCAGTCCATGGGGTCGCTTAGAGTCAGACACAACTGAGCGACTTCACTTTCACTTTTCACTTTCATGCATTGGAGAAGGAAATGGCAACCCGCTCCAGTGTTCTTGCCTGGAGAATCCCAGGGACGGGGAAGCCTGATGGGCTGCCTTCTATGGGGTCACACAGAGTCGGACACGACTGAAGCGACTTAGCAGCAGCAGCAGTGTGTATTTTATATGTAGTATGCATTTTATATATGATAGTGTGTATTTCATACATAGTGTGCATTTTATATATAGCAGTGTGTATTTTATATGTAGTGTGTTTTATATGTAGTGTGTATTTTATATGTAGTGTGTATTTTATATACAGTAGTGTGCATTTTATATGTAGCATGTATTTTATATGTAGCGCGCATTTGATATGTAGTGCGTATTTTGTGTAGTGTGTCTTTTGTGTGTAGTGTGTATTTTATATGTAGTGTGTCTTTTGTATGTAGTGTGTGTTTTATGTGTAGTGTGATTTTTGTGTGTAGTGTGTTTTATATGTAGTGTGTCTTTTGTATGTGGCATGTATTTTATATGTAGTGTGTATTTTATACACAGCAGTGTGTATTTGTCAATCCCAATCTCCCAATCCATCCCTCCCTCCTTGTTAATTTCTAAATAAATGCCCAGCAGCATCCAGAATCCCAGTGGAAAATATTTGTTTCCCCGGCCAGTTGGCACACACACCCGGTCCTCTTTTATCCATCTGGACCCTCCCACGTCCTGATTCGGCCCGGGGGATTTCAGAGCAGGACCGAATCGGTCGGAGTGATGACCCAGGCTGCTCTTGACTACGGGTCTCCTGACCGTCCCGTCTGATGGATTTCTGCGTTCTTAGGAAGTGGGTGGTTACGGTCAAATCCTGGGAGGGAAATTTCAAGATAGAAGAGAAGCAGCTTTGAGAACAGGGGGCTCCGGGGTGGGAGGGGCGTCCACGCCGCCCGAGGCGCTGTTTCTGCGGCCAGCCGAGGCCAGCGGCCCCTGAACAAGCAGTGCCGGCGGCCGCAGGGCCGTCCCCGCAGAGCAGTGCTCCCCCACCCTCCCCGTGGCCGCCTCCGGGGTCACTGCTCCGCCTCCGGGCTTCAGCCAGCTCGTCTGCAGGACGAGGCTCTGGGGACAAGGAGTATCGCAGCACCATGTTTCTTACCACAAATGAAACTGGAAACTCTCCCTGCGGAGCGTGCGCCAGCCCAAGCCCCTTCAGTGGATTCTCCGATCTGGCGCAGAGTTAGTCACTGAAGCCTGTGGAGTTGTTGACTCACTCCAGGTCACACAGAGTTCCAACTTCAGCATGCCTTGGTGAGAAATGCATTAAAAAATGTCTTTAAAAGCACTCATGTCCACTTCAGTGTTTCTCCAACCGAGGGAACTATTTTATCTTGAATTATGACGTCGACGCTGAATTCTAGACACCGCTGCCGCTGCTGCTAAGTCGCTTCAGTCGTGTCCGACTCTGTGCGACCCCATAGACGGCAGCCCACCAGGCTCCCCCGTCCCTGGTTCTCCAGGCACCAGAGGGGCGAATATACCTGTCTGGTTACATAATGCAGGTGAATGATCTTGTTAAAATGAGTAAGCTTGATTAAAAGCCTCCACAGACGCTCCTATCAGTGTTTTGAAATTGATATGGTGACTTACTCTCCTGGCACAAGCATCAGTGAGCAGGAGATCTCGGACGTGAAGCCCATTCCTCTTTGACCAAGTCCCAGTCAACAGGCTGCCTGCCTCCCTCACCCTCAAGTTCAACAGCATGACGGCGGAGTTACAGAAACAGCGATGTAACTCCTGACTCATGACGCCCAGCACTGGGCATCCGCCCCAGAGGTTACATAGCTGTGGTCACCCCGTCTGGTCGGCCAGGTCCCTCTCAGAGAGGCCGTCTAATCTCTGGCCTCCTGCCACCTCTCGATTCCAGCAGCCCCAGGAATGCCTGCTCCAAGCCAAGAGCTTCCCTGGAAAAACACAGGTTTCCCGCAGAGCCAGCTGCTCTGTGGGCAGCGACCTGATTCAGCAGGACGACCAAAGGCAAGGTCAGACAGGAGCCAGCGCCGAGCACAGGCCCTGGCTTCCATTCTTTCTCTTCCCTCTATCACCCTCCCCGCCTTTAATTTTGTTCTGTGTTCACAGAGTCCTCTTTTAATAAAGGCAATCGGGTCTAAAAAGAACAGAGGATTTATTTAAATGTCAACCAGGAAACTCTTGGGAATGAGCTGGCAGTCATAAGGAAGAAAGATGTGTGTCTTCACATGAAGGAATTGTAGATGGAAAAAAATACACGCAATCTAAAGGTTCAGAGTTCTGTTTTCTTTGGTGAGAATTTTTTGGACTCAGGCCCAGGAGGCAGCATTTCAAGTGATCCTGAGAGAAGGGTCTGAGGAGGCGAGGGGAGGAGCTAGGTTATAGAGAAGTTTTGCAACAAAGGACAGGTAGTCTGAATATCAAAAGATCATTGGTAGTTAAAGGAAACCATATATCCCAAGTTAAGGGATTTAGCACTCTCCTATCGTATGGAAGATGCAGGAGTCTGGGCTCCCTGAAGTCTTTCCTTTCATAGGCAGCTCAGCCATCTGGAGCCAGTATCCTGTGATTTTCACGTCCAGAGCTTCCTTTGCTGTTGTTGTTTGGTTTCTCAGTCATGTCCGACTCTTTGCAACCCCATGGACTTCAGCCTGCCAGGCTTCCCTGTCCTTCACTATATCCTGGAGCTTATTTAAACTCATGTCCATCGAGTCAGTGATGCTATCAAACCCTTTCATCCTCTGTTGCCCCCTTCTCTCCTGCTGTCAATCTTTCCCAGCATCAGAGTCTTTTCCAATGAGTTGGCTCTTTTTATCAGGTGGCCAAAGGATTGGAGCTTCAGCTTCAGCATCAGTCCTTCCAATGAATATTCAGGGTTGATTTCCTTTAGGATTGACCGATTTGATCTCCTTGCAGTTCAAGGGACTCTCAAGAGTCTTCCCCAACACCACAGTTTGAAAGCATCAATTCTTCGGCGCTCAGCCTTCTCCATGGTCCAACTCTCATATCCGTACAGGACTACTGGAAAGACCACAGCTTTGACTGTGCTCACCCGAGAGAGTGGCTGTAGTCTGATGGCTGCTGGATGTCACGCATTGTCCTTCCTGAACGTCCTCAGGGCTCGCTGGTTCATGTCGGAGGGCTGGAATCGCAGATGACTGTGACCTCCTTGTTTACTGCTGTGGCAGGAAACCCTCCGTCTCTTGGAATGAACACTGGTCCAAGCACAGGTCTCCTTCTGAGCCTTCACTCAAGCTGCAGGTCAGCAGAGTCAGGGTGCTCTCCGCCTTCCGCCCCCAGCACCTCGAGGCCAGGACAGAGCGGTGGCATGGTGGGGAGAGGTGCGGAGGGGCACGCCAGCTCCTTGATGAAAAGGGTCCAGCAGAGGGAATGTCAACCCCCCAGGCCCTCTCATTTGAGATCCTTGGCCGATCTTACAGAGAAGTTCATTTCACCCCCACCCCACCCCCCATCCAGTGGGCTCTGTGAGGATTTCACACGGGCGTGTCTAGAATGGATCTCTCACAACAGTCTAATTCCAGAGCAAGCAGACTTGAGAAAAAAAAATCAGACCAGACTCTCAGGACCAATCAAGCAGAAGTGGGTGCAGACCGACCGTGGTCTCTGTGACTGTGATAAGACACTGGGATGGATGCCCACAGCGTCACCAGCCCTGAGTACCATCCAGGCACATGCGCTGCCTCCTCACCTGGGACACCACCTCCTCACCACAAGCCCCAGGCTGACCCTCCCACGTGGGTACCAGCCTTGTTTCCTTTTCTGCCTCCAAGAGAGCAAGGCCACAGCCAAGGCCATGTGGATCCCATGGGGGTAAATGGTGCTTCTTCTTCTGACTCATCAATAAGTCAGTGTCATGAATAAAAGCGGCTGCATTGGGGGATTTGATTTTATTTCTCTCAGGGTTGGGGGGGGCGGTGAGAGTATCTTGAGAAAACCACAATTCTAAATGACACATGTACCCCGATGTTCGCAGCAACACTACTCACAACAGCCAGGACATGGAAGAAAGCTGGATGTCCGTCAACTGATGAACTGGTAAAAGAAGCTGCAGTGCATCTAGACAATGAGTAATTACTCAGCCACAAAAGAGAAGGAGTTTGAGTCAATTCTAGTGAGCCTGTTATACAGAGTGAAGTAAGTCAGAAAGAGAAAAACAAATACTATTAATGCATGTATATGGAATCTAGAAAAATGGTATTGATGAACCTATTGTGGGACAGCAATGGAGATATGAAATTAAAAGATGCTTAATCCTTGGAAGAAAAGTTATGACCAAGCTAGACAGCATATTAAAAAGCAGATACCTTACTTTGCCAACAAAGGTCCATCTAGTCAAGGCTATGGTTTTCCCAGTAGTCATGTATGAACGTGAGAGTTGGACTATAAAGAAAGCTGAGCACTGAAGAATTGGTGTTTTTAAACTGTGGTGTTGGAGAAGACTCTTGAGAGTCCCTTGGAATGAAGGGAGATCCAACCAGTCCATCCTAAAGGAGATCAGTCCTGGGTGTTCATTGGAAGGACTGATGTTGAAGCTGAAGCTCCAACTCCAGGAGTTGGTGATGGACAGGGAGGCCTGGCCTGCTGCAGTCCATGGGGTCACAAAGAATCGGACACGACTGAGCAACTGAACTGAACTGAACTGAATGGAGACAAAGATGTTGAGAACGGACTCATGGACATAGTAGCGGAAGGAGTGGGCAGGACGAATGGAGAGAGTAGCATCAACTTACATACATACACTATCTTGTGTAAAATGGATAGCTAGTGAGAAGCTGGGAGATTTTAACTCAGAGAAAAATCCAAAACTCCCTGGAAAGAGCTCAATTAATAGCTTCCAGACCCCAATCTCTTTTTGATAACACTGTTGACATCCCATGCAAAAACCTAATAGGAAAAAAAATGCACCTAAAAAGGTTAGATTTTCAACAAGCTTGTTCCCAGCATGAGTAACTGAAATAACTGACAGACAGAAAGTGGATTTGAACTGTCACAACGCAGCACCCCAGACCTGGAGAGCCTTTTAAAGAAGCAAACCTCTGTTAGCGAACGCATTCAAGTGTAAATGATCTCAACAAGCAGGCTTTTGACACCGAAGACGGAGTTTAACAATAGTTTGTGACAGGTAAGCTTGAATGTGCAGAATTGGAGAAGATAACATTTCTCCACTGTTTCTTTAATTACAGCTTTGAGAGAGGAGGCTGTCAGTTCCACCTCATTCAGGAAACTGTCTTGTGATGTCTCTGTTAATTAAGACTGTCTACCTGTTGTCAGGCTTCCCAGGTAGCTCAGCTGGTAAAGAATTCATCTGCAATGAGGGAGACCTGGGTTCGATCCCTGGGGTTGGGAAGATCCCCTGGAGAAGGGAAAGGCTACCCACCCCAGTGTTGTGGCCTGGAGTGGCCTATATAGTCTGGCCCATGGCCTATATAGTCCATGGGGTCACAAGGAGTCAGACACGACTGAGCAACTTTCACTTCCACCTGTTATCGGGGAGGCTCCTCCTTATTTCCCAGCCTTGCGGTAGGTCTCAGGCTGGGGCGGTCAGCGCAGCTCTCCAAAAGAGGACACAGTGGACAGGCCATCCTCTTGGACTCACAGAACCCACTCATGCCTTTGACAAGAAGCCTCTTTCAGCATGAGGGCCATGGTGTGTTCCTGGCATGAGCCCCCGGGAACCGCGCACCAGTGTCTGTCGTGGTCATCACTGAACAAGAACTGTTGAGCCACTGATGTTCTCATCACCTGTCGTCTGCAAACAGATAAGGTCCGGGGACATCTGGACCCACCTCTCATAAAAGCCCTGCTCAGGAACGATTCCAGAAGGTTCCGTGTAACTCCTCCCCCCTCCAGAGAGTAGAACATAACATCATTCTTGCTGCACCAAGCTGTGGGCTCAACTCCATGACCCTTGATTCCAAAAGACAGAATATGGCAAGGGGAGGGAATAGCGTTATGGTGGAGAAATCTGGGAATCTCCACTCCACATGATCAGGGTTACCCTGCCCAGGGATGTCATGTCCATATCGGGTGCCTCGATGTGATGGGCTACAGAAGATCTCCCCCTCCTCCCCCAAACATCCTCAGTATCCACATGAAAGAAATCCTCCAAGAAGCTAAATTGAGGGACATTCTACACAATTTCTAGGCTTCTCAGGTGGATCCATGGATAAAGAATCCACCTACACTGCAGGAGACGCAGATTCGATCACCAGGTGGGGAAGATCCCCTGGAGAAGGGAATGGCAAGCCTCTCCAGCATTCTTGCCTGGAGAATCCCATGGACAGAGGAGCCTGGTGGGCTACAGTCCACGGGGTCTCAGAG